TATAGGAGTCATTGCATCACTAGCAGTTTTCTCCGTGAGTTCAAGTGCTCCAGCAATAATTGTCGTCTCATCATGAGTTAGTTCTCCACCTTTTCCAGCCTAGCAGAAGCAATTGAAGGGGTTATTTAACTGACACCATATGATAAAAGCACAGAGAGATCTAGCCAATTGCGTTCAATATAATTTGGAATAACAATTTTTAAATAGTGGAATCTTAAACTGGAGATAACCAATGGCACAAAATTGATGACCCCAAGTAAACAATAGATAAAATAAATGAAAATGTTGATGGGAACATAATACCAAAGGGTTAGCAATCCGATGATATCCAATTTGTGACAATGGAAAGTGGAAGTTCGTATTATTTGATCATTGATAAACAATTTATTGTATAATAGTTAACACATTCACATTTTTTATCATTGATAAAAAATTTATTGGATAATACTCAACATAGTTACCACAGAATATACACATTCCTTCAACCCACAAAAATATACAGATTCCAAAATCAATAATGTAATAAAACAATCATTCTTTTCACAACTTAGTTCCAGTAACAGGAGAATAGGTCCGATAGAGTTTACTTCTTCTTGTTCTCAACCCATAACCAGTACGAACTACTAAGTTACCATAAGATCCTTAACACTTGCCCAAGCTTTTAGTCAGCAAAAAGTAAAAAAGGTAAAACATGGATCCCCTAATATTTTGCATCTTTCAGTTTAATTATCCAATAGAAACACTTGATAAATGCACTCTTGGCACAGTAGGAAGCATGCAACAATTTCTTTAAGGTCCCAGTCGGTTCATTCCTTATTTAAAGTCCCTAGTAAATTATAGTTCTAATTTTCATACTAGCCTTGGTGTACATAATTGGAGAATAATTTTGTTATGTTTAAGTATCTCCACCAACCTTGAATTCCTAGAGATGGAATTTCAATTCCTACTTTGAGAAGTAGGAATTGAAATCTCACCCCAAGGAACTCAACGTACAGAGGAGGTAACACAAATACTATATATATACACATCATGAACCATAATAAACAAAACATAGAGCACACTGAAAATTTCAAAGAATATGAAAATAGTGAAAGCAATTGAACTTGCCTCATTTCCATGCAAATTTACAAGTGTTTTCAGCTCAGCTCTGCGAAAGAGTGCTACATGTCCATGGCCCAGCAGGAAGTCCAACAGCTGGAGAATCACCAAACACTTGACGTCAAGAATTGTGCAGTCTTTGTGTAGGATAACTAAAATCTGAAAGAATATAAAGTACTTCACCTTGCTTATGGGGAAGGCAACAGGAAAGCAGACCCAAACAAGAAGACGAACAAACGGAGCCACAGTTGCACCAATTGCCAAACCATGCCGCGAACAAACAGACTGTGGTATTATCTGCACAGATAATATAAAAGCAATTAGTAATCTGAAAGTGCAAGAACAGTTGCATGATTATATAATCAGTTACAAGACTGAAACACACCCTTAAGTAGATACCTTCAGCAAAAGTTTCTTGACTAAAATAATTTGACAAATAATATTTGAGACCAGAGTAATAGCATTCGTATGCATCATGCACATACAGTAGGAACTATACTCTCTTCAAAACATGACCCAAGGGAGATCTCTCACCTCACCAAACAGAAGAATTAAAGTAACTGAGATCAGAATAGCACCCCACGCTGTAACCAGACCATCAAGAAAAATGGGAAGTGCCTGGCAAAAAAAGGCAGGGAAGTCATTCCAAACTGATAACTAATATTTTCAATGCCCATGATCAGACAGTTTTTCAACATATCCAGCAACATACCTCCATGGCAGCAGCATTGCAAATGAGTAAGGTGCAAAGCAGCAAATGCTGGTTTTTTACCACTGGTAATATCTTAGCTGCAGGGATAAAACATATTTATCAGTACACTGAACGCAGAACAAGTAATTTTTTTTTAAATAAAAAGTTAAAATTTATCAAGCAAATCTAAGAGTTTCGAACACTGTAACAAATGGCACCCACAGTATTTACCAATAGCAATTATCAAAATAATATGAATAAGTTAAAAATTCTCCAGCAAATTATTCTCTCTTGAAGCTGCACCATCAGTTCTTGCCAAACTTACCATTCCATTCCCTAATGGACCTCCATGAAAGGAGAA